TTTAAATATAATTTAGATTTGAGTGTTATGAAAATTAAACATTTAAATATTTTTTTTTCATTAAATAAAGGTAAGCTCCTAAATGTGCAATTTCCCAAGTGGCAACTTCCCAAGTCTGTTCTAGCCGCAGCGTTCAGCCAATTAGCTATGTAATCCTACCCCATTACAATTCATTATAATCTCTTTGCAACAGGATGTTGTAAACCTTTGATATTTCAACCAATAAAATCTTCTAGATAATATGTTACTAGCAAAGCTGAAGGAATTCATATGTTAAAGTTTTTAGAGGAAAATGTAAATAATATTTAAAAACTCTAAATACACATTTAAACGTGTATTCTTAAATATACAAAAAAACTTAAAGTAGTTTTTTCAATTCGAATTTTATGGGCGCTCTATGATTTAATCAAACTGTCTTCCCTTTTGTAATGTAATACACCTTTTAAATCTTTAATTGTAAATTTAATCCATAAATGATTAGTTATAACAATATATAGTTGTATTTATTAGAAATATATTTATTTCAAAATATTTTAGAATTAAATTCATTTAAAAATAAGCTTATACTTTAAAATTGTTGACCAGACTTGTTTATAATTGTTAAATGGAAAATCCATGCAAAAAGAGGATGTTCCATATTTTACAGAAATAAAAAAATACCAAAATTCAAGAAGAAATTCTGCGTCAAAGCATTTGTTCGAAATGGCTTCTATTTTAAAGTTTAAAAAAATAGAATATGTATATTATAGAACATTATCAAATGAAGTGAGTTACAATTTCCCCCAATTCCCGTTCCCCTTCAATTTTTATATATTTTTATAAAATAACTTAATTTTTACTGATTACGTAGTGCAAGAGGACGACTTCTAGACGCAAGTTATGACTTTAAAAAGTCCAAAGAGCATTATACACAACAATTGAGCGCAGTGCAAACCTATATTTCACTAAATTACCGATTTAATAAATATATAATAAAACTTATTGCTTGGTAACAACATCAAATACACTTACGTATTGCTTAAATGTCGTCTTCCTATTCCATTGTTTTCTGGTTCTCACTGTAGATAAACTTAAATCCCTTGATTTAACCGTACGAGGTCTGCATAAGAGAACATCAATGTTTGATCCGAGATTCACTCAACAACAGTTCTTCATCCCTAGTTCTTTAGTCTAGTAAATAGTCAGAGTTATAACTTAAAAAGTAACAATAAGTACTTTAAGCCAGTTCGTATTAATCGACATATGTAACATTCATGACGCTTTTAAATGAATATAAATCAATTATGAACAAAGCGTTATAGATAAGTGTCCACAGAAAAAAAATCCATAATTTAGATTTATTTTTTTCCCGAAAAGTTATTCAAAAATGTATAATAAGTTTAATAGCACTTTTACTGTCTAAAAATAAGTACACTAATCAAAATTATTTCCACTATAAATGTACTGTTAATTACACATAAAGGTGCGGTATATAGAGGAAGACGACTTTAAAACTCAAGTTTCGACTCATAAATAATCCATAAAACATATAAATATAGCAAATGTGCAGTTTAAAAAACAATTTCACTTAAAAATTTGGGTTTAAAGCAATTGGTAAAACTATTGCATTGACGCATGACAAACGCATAAGATTATCTATAGTTGCATAAACATTAAACAGTCATGTAAAGACTTAAAAAATAAGAATAAAAAAAACAGAGACAAAATAATATTACTTATTAAATATGGATGACACGACCATTTTATAATAACGCAACTAATATTGAGTAAGTGTAATAAAAAGCACATTCATTATTCAGATTTAAACCCCCAGAAAATTCTCATAGAATAAATAAAAATAATAATAACATTTAGTATGAAGTTTGCAGAATTTACATCGAGACTATTGAGAAAAGTATAAATGGACACTAGAGACATCTTTGGTTGATACTGTGAACTGTGGTTCTGAAATAGCCAAATTTAAGTTCCCGCATTTTCGGGTGCTAGTTCCGTGGATTTTCAGTTTTTTAGTATTATTAGAAATAAATAAAAATTGCAATTATTTCAAAATCTATAATTTGATGTTTCACAACTAAAATGATAAAAGATAGTTGATGATTTTAATTCAACAAATTTGTTGTTGTTTATTACCATATATTTAGTATTTGTTTGTGACTTTCGATTTCTCCATGACATTGAAATGCTTTTTAACTTTCACTTGTCTGAAAAAGGTAATTATGAAATCCTACAAGTGTACAGACAGATGATGATAGAAAGATAGATATATGATTTTAAACTAAAACATTAAATATGCCTGCACAGAGATTAAACTGTTCGAACAAGAAAATTGAGAAACTCACTGGTTAGTAACTTTTGTAGCCACGCCTCTATCTAATATTGTCTATTAGTATATAAACTGTCGTACTGTCGTACATATGACTTAAAAATTAAAGGCATAGAGACGACTGCATATTGAACAATGACTAGAAGTAGCCCAATGCACAATTATTTAAATTGATGTAAAAATCTATGAAAATTTTGGAAACTTGTTGAAAACTAAAGCTAAAACAAGTGCTTTAGATGATGTCTAGTGCATATACAAAAACTAAAGCGAAAACAAGTGCTCTAGATGATGTTTAGAGCATATACAAAAACTAAACTTAAAACAAGTTCTCTAGATGATGTCTAAAGCATATACAAAAACTAAAGCGAAAACAAGTGCTCTAGATGATGTCTAGTGCATATACAAAAACTAAAGCGAAAACAAGTGCGCTAGATGATGTCTAGAGCATTTACAAAAACTAAAGTTGAAGCAAGTTCTCTAGATGATGTTTAGAGCATTTACAAAAACTAAAGTTAAAGCAAGTTCTCTAGATGATGTCTAGAGCATATACAAAAACAAATCAGTCTGTTAGTGAGATAAAACCAAAGACTACACAAAGCCCTGAAAATGAATATTAGTTTGGCTTCATGTGAATGAAGATAAAATAAAACAATTGCTCTCTGTGTATTTCACCAATAAGTTCATTTTCGAGCAATCGATAAATTTATTTTTTACAACATTAAAATACTGCGTAATGGTCGTCTTCCTTTTTCAATATTTAACTGGAGTTGGTGTATTAACGTGTTTATGTTTGGCCGGGCGCTGAGGCCACATGACCAATTACATATGAGATCCATGTACAAAATTTATAGAGGGGGGGGGTCCAAAAATCGTATATATTAGGAAATTACTTAGTTTTAGTGATTGTTTAGAGTGGCGCAACAATAAAAAATATACGTATCTTAAAAAAGTAAAATTTTAAGTCAAAACGACCCCATAACACAGATTTAACAATTCGTGATAAATGAAAAGATAAATAAAAACATCTTGGTAAATAAAAACTATGTTGAATTAGAGACAAAATGCTAGTGAATCATAAAATTGAAGAAACCAAACGTATCTCACCAAATGCATGGTTAGTACAGGACACTATGTACCAATGTACCAAAATCAATTTTGTAAAGTTTTGTGATAATATTCATAAATATCGTTTATTAAAGATAAGAAATTAAAGATAAGGACAATTTAATAAGTTTTATTAATGTTTACCTTATTATAACTTACATTATTTTAGTCCATGCCAAGTTTTTGTAAATTAACACATGTAGTAACGAGTATATGTCGACGTGATAAGCCATTAAAAAAAAGGAAAGTGAATAAACCAAATTTAAGCAGTGATTATTAAAGAGTTTTTTTGCACAGATTTGATTAACAGATACATAGATGTAAATTTCAAACCATCGATAATTATTTTGATTGAGGGATCCTTTTGTAAACAGATGATACAAAATTGATAATATTCACTAAAATCGAAACAATACAAAAAAAGTAAAAAAAAAAAGAAGAGTAGTGAAGAAAAAATAAAAGAGTTTTGGAAAATAGTTTATCAGGGGTAATTCAAAGAGATCTGGGGTAGGTGAATAAGCTCAATAAGAAAGAGGAAGAACACTGGACAGTCTAAACATATTTTAATTTTTGAGTTACTTTAGAAATATCTACTAACATTTTTTTTATTTGTAAAAAATAACCTAATTAATTTAAAAAGCTAGGGAAAAAGATCTTTTTTATTATTTATTATTAAAGGAAGTGGATAATAATAAAAATTCTGATAGTTAAACCCCATTTTCACTGTCTTCTATTTTCTATTTCATTTTTTTTGTGAAACTTCATAAAATTTGCTTTTACACTGATAGAAAGTACCCCTCACCCCCCCATCCCCAGGATAATATCTGGAGTACAATTATTGGGGGAATTCAAACTTCTTGAATTTTTAAGATTGCATTGTGAAGTTTTTACCCCTATGCACAATTAAAAGATAAATACGCCATGGGTTGTTAATCGTTTTTAAAAACTATCGAAAAAAATGATATTTTTAAAGTTAAAAAAACGACCTTCTATTGTTAACAAAACGACGAACTTTTTCAAGAACGTTCATTTTTATAAACGATCGATCCGTTTTTTGTTTTTCTTCGTCGTTTTTAAAATGAAACGATCGTTTGTCAATAAAGTAAAAACGACATCCTTGCCCAAATACACCACCCCCACTTCCCTTCTTACCAACTCTATAGTTGCGTCCTATAATCATAATCTTTAACTATCGTCGTTATAACAATGACTCGACGTATTGCAATTGCAAGTATGACAAGAGCAAATATTTATTATAATTTCTCAGAACTGTAAAATTAAAATATTAAAGACTGTAGATATAGGTACTTTATCCCAACAACTTAATCAATAACAACTTTGTTTAAATCCCTCCCTCTTCCTCGCCGTTTTGGGGTTAATTGACAGAAAATTATCAAAATATAAGGTGGAAGGTGGAATAAGAGAAGGTGGGGTAGGAAGGAGAAAAGGAGGGACCGGGAAGCAGAGGGCATGAAATAGAGGAAGGTAGGTAGGATAAGGGGNCAGTTGGACTGTAACCTGTGTATGAAGAAAGTGAGTGCAGTATTGTTTATATATTAATATTATAGTAAAGAAATATATGTTCAAATAATGCTGTGCGGTTAAAATTAAAAAGTGAAACTTGAGACGTTAAAATCTTGATCAGTTTAAAACGGTTCAGTGATAATCATACTTTCTTTCAGAGGTTGATTCAAAAGCAATTGGAATCCGCGTAAACGCGTAAACGATAGTGTACACCTGTACTTTGTGATATAGAAGATGAGAGGATAACAAAGTTAATTACATTTAAGTGCAAGAATAAAATATGGAAAAGGCAAGAGAAGCAATGTTGCAAAGACGAGAGGTTGACAGCGAAAGACCAAAAGTTCTTAAATCTGCAATTGGTGAGTTAATAAGCCTTTGTTACCTTTAAAACATCAAGGACGTAGACCTGATAATTTCACGATAATATATATAGTGTTCCTTATCTCATTAAATCTAATTTACTAACTATTTTGAAGCCAAAAATACGCAAAAAACATTTAAGAACTATGTTTTACTTATGCAATATTTTGTTAGCTTTGTATGCAGGGTGTCCTAAAAGCAGGAGCGGCCAATGATATTTCCATGGGGGGGGGGGGCTGCGG